TGGAGAGAACGCAGGCCCCCTCTGTCTCTGTAACTCCGGAAGATCACGGCAGCCTGGGGCTCTTTGTGCCTGCTATCTTCCAGGCCTTTGCATGGTTGTCTCCTTGTCATCATTCATGGCCTATCTTCAAAGTCACCTCTGGGAGAGGCTTCCCTGATCACCCTCAATAAAATAGCTGCCCCCCAAACCACATAATTATCACATTATTTTGCATTATTTTTTTCCTCCATAGCCCTATCACTATCTGGAATTCTTATATTTGTTTGCATGTTGCTGTCTGTGTCTCTCCATTAGAAGGCAAGACTTTGTCTTTTTTACCTTCTATAAAGTGCCTGGCACAGTAGACATACAGTAAAGATTTGTCAAATGGACATATTCCTTGTCAAGCTATAGAAGGCATCTTTAAGGAGTAAACTTTCCTTTCAGATTCTGAAAATATAGCCACAAAAATAAATATTTATTACATGCTAAATTTTCACTAGCCCCTTTCACAATATGAATTTCATACCATTATTTATTTGTAGTTTATTGTAAAGAACACCAGACTGAGAGTTAAGAGTTCTAGATTCTAGCCTTGATCCTGCTATTACTTGAAAGACACTGCACCTTTGGGTCCAGCAATTCAATTTCCTAGGAAATTGGAAGTTTATCTCAAGGAAAGTTTATCTCAAGGACAAAATTGGACATATGTACAAACAGATATGCACCAGGATGTTCATCCTGTGTATTAATAATAGCAAAAATTAGAGGAAGATAATTTCACACAATGGGGCTTTGGCTAAATAGACTGATTTATCCTTCCATGTCACACTGTGAATTCATTTGAAAATGATGATTGAATTCATTTTGTTACTTATACAATAAATGTCCATTGAGTACTTGCCAATTTTAGCCACTGTTCTAGGTGCTGAGAATGTAGCAGTGAATGAAACAAAGGCCCTAACACTCATGAACCTTGTATTCTGATGGGGAAGAAAGACAATAAAAATAAATAAATATACTTCATAATATGATATCATATCACATAATATGATATCACTTCATAATATGATATCATAATATGATATTACATATAAGTTCTATGAAGAAAGGATAATGCATTGTAAAGGGATTGGGGCATCCCCGAAGAGAATGATTAGGGAACCTATTTTATATAGTGACCAGGAAAGACCTCTCTGAGGGGGTCACATTTGACCAGAGACCTGAATGAAGTGAGAAAGTGAGGCATGTCAATATCTGTGGAAGAGAGTTCCAGGCAAATACAATGCCCCTGAGGCAAGAGTTATGGTGGCAATTTTGAGGGAAAGAAATAAGGCCTGGAGAATAGTGAGCATGGAAAAAAATGGTAGGAAATACTATTGGGGAAGCAGCCAAGGACTGGGTTTTGTAGGCCCTTATATAGGCCATTGTGAGGACATTAGATTTTTATTGTAAATATGACAGAAAAACTTGGAGAATTCTGAGAAAGAGAGTGAGCGAGCAGAGGAGGAACAGAGGGAGAGGGACAAGTAGACTCTGTGCTGAGTGCGGAGCCCGATGTGGGGCTTGATCCCACAACCCTGAGATCAGGACCTGAGCTGAAATCAAGAGTCAGACGCTTAACTGACTGAGCCACCCAGGCAATCTTGGAGAATTCTGAATAAAGATAAGTCTTATATTTTAAGACTGTGATAAGTAGGCTAGGGGAGGACAAAAGTAGGGGCAAGGAAACCATTTAGAAGGCTATTTCAGAAGTCTGGTTTCCAGTCCTGTGGCATGGACTAGGACCATAGCAGTAGGCATGGTGAAAATTGGTTATATTTGGGACTTTTACTTATTCTAAATAAAAGTAATACAAAAAGGCAGGTATGGTAGTCTCAGAGAAAGAGGAGTAAAACATCTTTGATTTGAGTCTTTGCAACTGAGTGAAGTGCAATTGAGTAAAGGATGTGTGATAGTGTTTGTTAAGGGGGTCTGAGGATAAAGGAGAGTGTGTTGCCAGGGCTTGGATATCACCTGGATATTATCACCTAGATGAGATTCCACTAAGAAGTGAGAACTGAGTGCTGGGGCAATTCAAAGGATCAAATGTGCCAAATGTTGCTGAGCGTGGAGTAAAATGAGGACTAAGAATAACCATGCGAGGGCCTGGTGTAGGTCACATTGAGTAAGGAAAGGGTTAAGGTCCAGGCAGGAAAGATAGGAGGCCCCTGACTCTCCTGACTAGGCAGGCTCACGAGGGGGCAACGTGACCAGGCTCACAGAAATCCCGGATGTGGAGAAATGCTGAGGTGTACAAAACCAGAGATAAAGGGAACAAATCAGACTGCCTGGCCCTGAATGTTAGGGAGTGGTTTTTTTTTTTTTTTTTTTTTGCAGCTACATTGTAATCACAGAAACTGACCAGACCTCAAAGTAAACCATTAAGGATGTTATCAACCATCCTTGCTCAAACCAAGATGGCACAAGATTTTCAAGGCCACAAACTTCCTGGTCATTTCTCAATAAAAGACTGCCAGTAAAAGCCCACAGTGGCAACCCATTTGGGACCCCTCTCACTCTAGAGAGCTTTTTTCTTTCCTTTCTGTTCTCACCTTCACTTAATAAACTTTCACTTCACTTTGCCCTTTTATTCTTCCACTCTGTGAGACAAGAATCCTGCAACCTTGTAACAACATTGGTCTTAGTTGGGGAGAAAAGTCTGATTGGGGAATGCTCACAAGTGAATGGATTTCTTCAACAAATACATTGATATGGGGGGGAAATTGAGATGGAGAAGGCTATTAAAAAGAAAACCACAAAGGGCAGCCTGGGTGGCTCAGTCGGTTAAGCATCTGACTCTTGGTTTTGGCTCAAGTTATGATTTCAGGGTTGTGGGATGGAGCCCTCTGGGCTCCATGCTCTGCCAGGAGTCTGCTTCTCTCCCTCTCCCTCTGCCCCTCTTCCCGCTCACATGAGCACCATGTGCTCTCTTTCTCTAAAATGAATAGATAAATCTTAAAAAAAGGAAAAGAAAATCATCCAGGTCCAAGGTGGAGTCACTTGCCCCCAGGACAGCAAAGTAAGACTTCATTGCAGTTTCAACCTTTCCAGGAGCCAAATTTTGTTATTATTATTTTTTTTAATTTTTAATTTTTTTAAAGATTTTTTTGAGTTTTTGATCTGAATTTTTTAAAAAGATTTTTATTTATTTATTTGAGAGACAGAGAGAGAGTGAGAGAGCACAAGCAGGGGGGAGTGGCAGAGGAGAGGGAGAGGCAGGTTCCCGGCTGAACAGGGAGCCCGATGTGGGGTTCCATCCCAGGACCCTGAGATCATGACCTGAGCCAAAGGCAGACGTTTAACTGACTGAGCCACCCAGGTGCCACAAGGAGTGGAATTTTATTTATTTATTTATTATTTAATTAACTTATTTATTATGTTCAGTTAGCTAACATATGGTACATCATTAGTTTTTGACGTCGTGTTCAGCAATTCATTAGTTGCTTATAACACCCAGTGCTCATCACAACACATGCCCTCCTTTATGCCCATCACCCAGTTACCCAATCCCCCCAAGCTCCTCCTTCCATAATCCTCAGTTTGTTTACCTGAGTCCAGAGTCTCTCCTGGTTTGATTTTAAACCAATCAATCTGGAATTTTCTGGTCAGCACCAAATGAGGTAATCTATGGCATGGGACATTGCCCCTCACTCCCAAAGGAAGAAGTAATCTTCACAATAAGGCCCCTGTTCTGCCCCTTAAGGCAATGTGACCTTGTGTGAAACAAAACTTTTCTTTTGCTAATAACTTCTTTGCTCCACCCTCTTTTCTGTAAAAACCTTCCATTTTATACAAATCCTTAGAGTTCCCCTTTACTTACTGGGTGGGATTCTGCCCAATTCCTGAATAGATTAATATAGCCAATTAGATCTTTTAAATTTACTGGGTTAAATTTTTATTACTTAACAGAGCCTTTAGATTAAAAGGTAATTGAAAGACACATCAGCCAGTCACAAAGGCTTACTGGATCCTGAAACAATTGGTATCCAAATAATGACTTGATTTTGATGATTTTTTTTTTCCCTTAGGGATAGAGAGGTGGGGAGGGAGGGGCAGAGGAAGAGAGACAATTTCAAGCGACTCCAGGCTGAGCACAGAACCTGACACAGGGCTCGATCTCATGACTCTGAGCCAAAATCAAGAGTCAGATGCTTTTACTGACTGAGCCACCCAGGCGCCCCTGATTTTGAGGATTTTAAGTAATTACTAATTTATTTTTAAATGAAATAATGGTTCTGTGTCTACAGGGGAAAATAAGAGTCCTATTTTAGAGATGCATGTTGAAATAATGTCTAGCTTTAATGGGTAGCTACTCATTGAAGGTGGGTAAGTACACTTCTCTCTACTTTTGTATATACTTGAACGCCATAATTTTGTAAAAAATTAAATTCAAATAATCTTATTTTAAAGAGGTAAAGTTGAAAACTTTTTATCAGAATAACCTTACTTTTTTATGTCCAATATGCTCTTGTAAGATCCCCACGAATTTATGTTTGTGACTTATGAAAATTACCTCCGAAAGAAATCTTTGATACATTTTTTAATTTGTTAATCTGCTACCTGGAAATATAATTACACATGCTTCAATTTCTAAATGAGAATAAATATGAATGTATAGTGAAGAAATGGAAACTGAGAATGTTATTGATTCCCAATCATGTTCACAAATATTTCCAGATTAAAAAATAAATGTTATTTTTGACAGTGGGATTAGATATAATTTTTAAAAATTAAAAAATCTGCTTATCTGTATTTTCTAACTTCATGTAAGGCATATGGATGCGTTGTTTAAAAAGGAGCGAAGCTACCAGTTGCTACTTCTACTTACAGAAAGTACTAACACATACACCTGCACCTCCAATTCCGCAGGCGACTAAACCTCCAAAGTGGGGCAGATATGCGCAGGCGCAATAGCAAGCTATTGGTTGGAGGCGGGACTAGAGCCTCACCTAAAAGACAGCTCTTTCAGCCAATCAAAGGACACCGTCAGGGGCTTCTTCCTGTGGGAGGCGGCCGGAAGTCGGATTTCGGTTGCGGAGGCGAAGGCGGCTCCGGTGTTAAACCCTCAGCTGAGGTGAGTGGGCGGCGATGGCTTGGGCTTCGTTCCGCGTGCATTTCTCCTTCCGGACCTCGCGGCTTCCTCAAGGCGGGCTGGGAATGGGGGAGGCTTGGCGCGGGGTATACTCTCTCACCTTCCTCTCCCTCGTCCGTCGGAGGTTGCCGCCTCTCTCCTCGTGGGGAGCCGGGTGGAAGGTGCCCTCGGCGGGCTTCCTCTGTGTGGGGAGGCCGAGCCGGACCTTAGGTTGGGAGACCTGAGTTCTAGTCCTGCGCGCTGCTGGTTTGCTAAGCTGTGTGGACTTGGCGAGTACTTTAGCCTCCGGCTTTTGTCAGCTGAGAGTGACCATCCCTGCCCTCCCTCTTCGGGGAGAGATGCTGAAACCGGCTGAATTAGTGGGGAGGTGGGGGTGGAGGAGGCCGGCCGATTCCAAGCCTAATGGTCACATTCATCTAGTCTGTTTTTTTAAGAAGCTGCTTTCCATCGGCCCCATTCACCGTAGACGAAACGAATCACATGTCTGGGGGCGGGACCCTGGAATACCTTCCTTTTTTGGTTAAGCCCCTAGCTTGGAACATACACTATAGAAGGTGAATCTTGAGTCAGATAACCGACTGTAACACTTGGCGGTGGTTTTACTGAAGATACTGCCTTTGGAAAAGTTCATTCTGGAGAAGTGATAGAGAAATAAACATAACTTCTGTAATATGTCAAGTTCCTTTTAAAGATTCATGGTTTATTGACTCAAGAGAGCTTGTACTGTGTAACGAAAAGGACCCAGAATGAGAATTCTTGCTGTGCTTTTTACTAGCCTTTTGATCTGGTGCAAATACTTCCTCTCTAAAATGAAATCGACAGTAGTACTTAACTCAAGAATTTGTAGGAAGACGGAGAGGATTTAAAACGCACCTGTCACGGAGTTGGCCTTTGGAAAATGGCAGCTTGAAAAGAGGAATGCACGTGGTGTTAGGAAACACAAAACAGGACGCCCAACTAAAAATGCCTGAGTGGGGTAGAACTTGGGCTGTCTAAAATTGCTTTTGAAGTACCAGATCAATGCTAATTCTCGGATTTTGGTAGTAGTATGGTTATAAGGGAACATTATTATTTGGGGGAGACCAGTAAGGCAAGTGAGGGAAAATGTTAACGTTTGGAAATTCTGGGTGAAGAATATGGAATGTTCTTTGTACTTTTCATTCAGCTTTCTATAAATCAGAATTTACGTTAAAAAATTGTCACTATTTGCAGCTATCCTGTGTTGTAAATTAGTGAAACGGGACAGTGTGTATAACCCCACCCTCATGAAGTTTTACCCCTTTTTCCTTAAGGGCTGCATAATACTATATAGAAATATTTTATCCACTCATATTGATGAAGTCATGTATTATTTCTGACTTTCCGTACTCTTTTCAAACATTGCAGCATTAAACACCCTTAATACACATTTTTATGTCCTTGTGATGCAGGAAAGACCTTAGGATTTGAAGCCACTGCTGGTGCCTGCTGCCGCGGGATTATGTGGAGCAAGTGATTTTATACTTTGGGGTTGGGAGCAGTAAAGATAAGGGAAGTTCCAAAAGGACTTTTATATGTTAAAGACTTGTGGGATCCTGGAGGAATGTTATAATCTGCCTATTTCAAGTATTTGTCAATGGGCTACAGGTTGTAAGGAGATTTAATTTTAACTACATTCCTTCCGCCTTTGTTTCCCACCTTACTTTCTCTAATTTTCTTCATTCAGAAGGTATCCCAGTTTTAGAATAAGGCTTATAGCTATTCTGGCCCTGTAGGGAAACTGGTTGGGGTGGGAAGGACCCACTCACCTCAGTTCTCACAGAAGCCATCATCACAACCACCCCACAGATTCTTGGGTGGTAGGTACTACCCAAGAGAATATATGAGAATTCTCACACACAACTGACAGGAAACAAATATATATTTGGAATTTAATTTGGCAGTATCAATTTTAAATGCTGATATTCTTTGAACCAACAATTCTACTTCTAGAATTTTATCTTGTGAAAACATTGGTACAAGCGATGTGGGAAACAAGAATTAGTAAATTTCCTTACTACCTATAGCTCACTGACAAGTCCTTAAAACAGGCAGAGTGGCATTCCTCTAGGGATTCAGCTGCCTTGATGTTAATATTTTGCTAAGGGCAACAGGTAATCTTAGCCCAATCCCCAGGATCCTGTGAGTCTACTTTAACGTATAAAAATTCTGTTGGAAACTTCCTTTGTCTCTACCCCCAGATACATGTTAGCAATCATCCCTGAAGTATATGACCCACTGATAGACATCTGAAGGGTCTCATGACTTAGTTTTTACTAACCAGTAATAAATGACCTTTCCTAACAATAGCTAGCCCCCTCAGGATCCTGGAAACCTTGTTTCCTGGGAGGCTTACACTATCCCTAACTCCCTCCCAACTTTAAAGTATTTAATGGGCCACTCCTCAGGACCCCAGTGCAGTTCTTACTGCCCATGAGTCCTGTCCGCGTGCTTTTTTTTTTTTTTTTAAGATTTTATTTATTTATTCATGAGAGACAGAGAGAGAGAAGCAGAGGGAGAAGCAGGCTCCCAAGGAGCAGGGAGCCCGATGCGGGACTCGATCCCAGGACCCTGGGATCATGACCTGAGCCAAAGGCAGACGCTTAACCATCTGAGCCACCCAGGTGCCCCTGTCCGCGTGCTTTAATAAAACCACCTTTTTGCACCAAAGGCGTCTCAAGAATTCCTTCTTGGCTGTCGGCTCCAGACGCCATCAGACTTCACCAAAAACATTCCAAAAGAACTACATCAAAAGGATAGTGTGACCTCTGCTGGAATCCAGCGCCTGTTACGTGGAAGGTGTTCTATATTATATAAATATATAATATATAATATTATATTCCATAGTGATGGAATATTTGAAATCTTGATAGTCTGTTAGATGAAAAGCATCCTTTTTAGAAATTTGCTTTTAGAAATGTATTAGTCTGAATATTTTCCTGCCTTTATTCAGCATATGCATTTTCGTTTTCCTCTTTTGTCTCTTTTTCTAGGTTTTAAAAAATAGAGGTTAAAAAAAACCATCCTGGGGGCCTTTATTGAGAATCTTCTAGGTGTTGAGATGGTGGAAGTGGAGTTGTGTACAAGATAAGCAGTTCCTGAAGTCCTGGTGCTTTCCTTCTGGTGGGGGTGGAGTCAAAAAAATGTTTTTAAAAAGTCAAAATAAAATTTCTAGTATTTGCTCTTGGTTAGCTTGCAAGCATTTTTCTTCCAGAAGAATGGGATTGTCTTTTAATTTTGCTTATGATGCATTTTCCTATTTTTAGATTTATTTTTGGTAGTTAGGATCTGTTGGTCTTTTGTAGCAGCCTTAGAACTTCGTAGTTTTTTTTGTCTGTTTTCCTTGATATTTTAAGCAACACTAGGGTGGAGGGAGTGTTTTGTTTATCCTTTAAAGATGTATAGTGTAGTGTTTGAGATCTTTAGACTCTGGATCCTTTACTGATGAGGTTTTGGGATACAGGTGAGGTTCAGTGGAGTGGAGTCCGGAGCCGATGACGTTTTATTAAAGCACGGGGACAGGACCCATGGACAGAAAGAGCTGCTGCACCGGGGTTTTGAGGGGTGGCTGATTTTGTACTATGGGGTTGGGGGAGGTAAGGAAAAAGGGAGGTTTCCAAAAGAACTTTCATATGCTAAAGACTCACAGGATACCGGAGGCCTTGCCATTGTCAAGTTAAGGTGTTTACCCCTCTAGTAAGTTATTAACATTAATTAAGTTAGTTGGGAACTTCCTGAAGGAACATTACACTGCCCACTTCAAGTATCTGTCAATGGGCTGCAGGTTATAAGGGCATTTAATTGTATCTACATTTCCTTCTGAAAGCTAGGTTATTGATGATAGGAGTGCTTTGTTCTTGTAGGTTGCTAAGACGTTTATAAACTGAGGGAGACACCTGTCTTGTAGGATTGTGATCTAAGTTAACTATTTGTTTTTCCTTTAGGGCAGCCAGGCATGCCTGAGGAACATCACATGTATCCTGGGGGGGGGGCGCGGTTGTGGGGTGTCAGCTTCTGCTTTGTCATCAACTTGCCTTCTGTTCCCTGATCATTTACTACTTAATCTGTGACTTTATGTTAGTGGTTCAACCTTTCTGAGCCACAACTGTCTCATCTCCAGAAAGGAAAGAGCACCTTTTCTCACAGCCCTGAGAAAAGTAAACTGGCGCATAGTATGTACTCAGATATTATCTGTTGTCAAAATCATCATCCCTGGATACTCATTGTCCTGTATTAGACAAACAGTAAAGAATCAAAAGAGTGAATACACATTAAGGGTGTTTGTACATATTTCCAAATTCCATTGGTTTGGAGCCCTCTTGAAATGGTTGAAGCTGCTCAACAAATACTTATGAAGCTTATGTGCGTGCAAGGTTGTCGACATAGAACTATGATAAGAGTCCTTCCCGTCATGGAGCCTATAGTCTGGCCAGGGAGAGAAATCAAATACTGGTTCAGAGAATAAAAGAAGGAAGGTAGGATCTGGATTTGATGACTAATCAACTAAGTTATTTCTTCAGAGGTGACATTTTAAGCCACTGCCTGAAGCAGGAGAAAAAGCATATGAAAAGACCCAAAGGCAGAAGAAGTTGGTATAGTTAAAGAATAGTGTTGAAATTCTAGATTAAAGACGGTACTGCTAGGATATAATGAAAGAGAAGGAATGTTGGATGAAAACAGTTAATGCTGGCTATTACGTGGAAGAGCAGTAGTGAAAGCAAAAAGAGCCCTGGGGAAACCATTATATTCCTGGCAAGAAAAAATGGTGGCTTGGTCAGAATTGATGAACTTGAGATGGTGAAGGTGTGGAATCAACAGGATTTGATAAATTTGTGATGATAGGGAGGGGAGGGGGTCTGAATATTTTATGAACCACCCAGAAGGAGTTGAGGCAGTCTGGATTGGAGGTAGAAAGTACAGAGTCATAAACACAGAACAGGGTTTCTCCACTTTGGCACAATATTTTGTTGACATTTGGGGCTGGATAATTCTTTGTTGGGGGCTGTCATATGCACTGTGTTCAGTAGCATCCCTAGCCTCTACCCATTAGATGCTGATGAAGTTTTAGAATATAAGTGAGGTTCAGCGGGGTGGAGTCTGGAGCTGATGACTAAGAAAGAATTCTTGAGACGTCTTCGTTGCAAAATGGTGGTTTATTAAAGCACAGGGACAGGACCCGTGGGCAGAAGGAGCTGCTGCCCCGGGGTTGTGAGGGGTGGCTGATTATATACTATGGGGTTGGGGAAGGTAAGGAAAAGGGAGGTTTCAAAAGGATTTTTGTATGTTAAAGAATATTCACAGGATACCGGAGGCTTTGCCATTGTCAAGTTAAGGTTGTTTACCCTTCTAGTAAGGCATTAAGATTAAGATAGTTGGGAACTTCTGGAAGAATGTCACATGTGTCTCACCCAAGAGTGGGGGGTGGGGGTTGGTTGCAGGGTGTCGGGCTTATGCTTTGTCTTCAGCCAGCCTTCTGTTCCCTCATCAATGCCAGTAGCACCTCATCCCCCAGTTGTGACAAGTAAAAATATCTCCAGACCTTGCCATATGTCTCCTGGTGGTCAAAATTGCCATTGGTTGAGAACCACTGGTAGAAATGGTGTTTAATAAAAGCCATGGAATTGACTGATAATAACCCAGGGAAAATAAAAAGCAGAGGTCTAAAACTATTGGCCCAAAGACCACAAAGATTGTTGTAGACAATTTTGACCCCACAGTACTTGATGATCTCTGGAATTAATTACCAGTACTTAGAAATTGAGAGATTTCTGCATAAAGTCTGATTTTTGCCTTCTTTTAAGAAATCAAGAAACTGAGGAGCAATGAGTCTTCTTTACCACATGAATGCTAATGGCTGGAGGTTTTGAGATTTGGCATTCATATGCTTAATTCATATGAATCCCTGCCCCAGAGTACTTCACTGTTTTAAGTTGCTTGCCTATTCCCTTTGGCACTTGAGTTTTTGATTCCTTAATTTACAGTGAGAAGAGGGCCCCAGAGCAACCCTCTTGAGACAGGTCAACATTAAAATTTGGTTAGAGGAAAAAAAAATAAAATAAATAAAAATAAAATAAAATTTGGGTAGAGGAGTGGTGCTAGAGGAGATTGAGAGGGTGTGGCCAGTGAGGTAGGAGGAAAACCTAAGTGGAAGCTCACAGAAGCTGAGGGAGAAGGGACGTGTGTTGAAAAAGAAGAAAATACTGCTGAAAGATTGAGTAAAATCACCTTAGAAAAATATCTATTGGATTTGCTTGTGTGATGATTGTTGATGACCTTGTTGAGCAGTTTTTGTGGAGTTAAGAGGTTGAGGCCAAATTGGATAATGACAAAAATGAATATGCAGAAGCAGTGAATTATGAGTTGGTAAAATTATAGTAGATCATGATGCCTTTGACCACTGCCTCATTGGTTCTCAGCAGCATCCTGTTCACCACTGTGGCTTGGTGGTACCTCAGGGCTGCTCCGCACAGTTGCCCTTAGTACCTCACAAATTCCCAGAGTAAAACTGCCTCCGATGTATTTGCCATCTTTGCTGTTGGATGGTGGTGTTATACCTTGAAAATCTGATAAGATCAGTTTAAATGAGCAGTCAGGGTTTTCTCGTTTTATCATATACCTAAGCTTAAAATGGAACCTCTATTTAGAGCATATGTATAGAGGATACATTTGGGTTTGGAATTCTGCAGTTGATATAAAAAAGTCGATGTGTCCATAAAAAATATAGTGTACATTGCAGGGGAAAAGGTATGGAATTGGATCATCATTTCATCAAAGAAGCTCAGGTGATGATACCAGCTGTCTGAAATATAGCAATGTTGATGTTATAAGTGTTTGCTTTTGGAAATCAACCTATAATAAACAAAAGTGATTGTGATATGAGATGGGGAGATAGCATGTGTGATTTAGCTATAGAGGGGGTAGAGAAATGATACAACTGGTGAGGGGTGTGGGATCCAGATTTTATTTATAGATGAAAATACACTACATACATTTTTTTTTGCCAATGAAAGTCTTAAGCAGAGAAGGAGAAATAGTTGGATGATTGAAGATATAATGCTAATTAGAAAAACATGGCAGCCTTTCCATGTTGTTTTAGAAACTAAGGAGATCATTTTGTCCTGGGCCCCAAACTGCCAAGGAAAAAAAAGGAAAATACTGTCTGTAGTCACCCAGTGTGACAGGTTTGTTTTGTAGCTCTACTCTAAATCTTTGGTTTCTTTCCATAGGTTCTTGATCTTCCGCAATGGGTGAGCCACAACAAGTGAGTGCTCTTCCACCACCTCCAATGCAGTACATCAAGGAATATACAGATGAAAATATTCAGGAAGGCCTAGCTCCCAAGCCTCCACCTCCAATAAAAGACAGTTACATGATGTTTGGCAATCAGTTCCAATGTGATGATCTTATCATCCGCCCTTTAGAAAGTCAGGGCATCGAACGGCTTCATCCTATGCAGTTTGATCACAAGAAAGAACTGAGGAAACTCAATATGTCTATTCTTATTAATTTCTTAGACCTCTTAGATATCTTGATAAGGAGTCCTGGGAGTATAAAACGAGAAGAGAAACTAGAAGATCTTAAGCTGCTTTTTGTACATGTGCATCATCTCATAAATGAATACCGACCCCACCAAGCAAGAGAGACATTGAGAGTCATGATGGAGGTGCAGAAACGTCAACGCCTTGAAACAGCTGAGAGGTTTCAGAAGCATCTGGAACGAGTCATTGAGATGATTCAGAATTGCTTGGCTTCTTTGCCTGATGATTTGCCTCATTCAGAAGCAGGGATGAGAGTAAAAACTGAACCAATGGATGCTGATGATAGCAACAATTGTACTGGACAGAATGAACAACAAAGAGAAAATTCAGGTCATAGGAGAGACCAGATTATAGAGAAAGATGCTGCCTTGTGTGTCCTAATTGATGAAATGAATGAAAGACCATGAAGGATGTTTCTTCTTCTTTTTGCTTTTCTCTTTTCCTTTTCAGTAAATGGTATATCTCGTTAATTTGCTCTTGGAGAGTCTTAAAAGCGCTATAACTAGAAGTCATGTGAACGGCTTGACTCCAACTTTATCAATTATGAGATGTCACAGGCATTGCACTGTATGGTAAACATAGGGAAATGAGTATATATGTATACATTAAGAGTAATCACCTTAAAAAGGAAAGTGCTGCGATTGTGTGGAACATTCCTGGATGTGGAGTTGCAGAAAACATCGAAGATATCCTCAGTAATAGCAAGCTTTCATCTTTGAAAAGTAGATTTGTCATTTGCTTTAAGAGTGGTAGATAAATAAAGGATATCAAGTTGTATAAATGTGAAATTATAAAATCTTTAGATTTATTTACTTAAAAATTTACTTGATCTCTAAAAATGTAGTATAACATGTTAAAAGAGAGGAACCCCGTAGAGTTATAAAACAGCAATTTTATTTTTCCTCTTGACTGCTTCTGTAAACACACTATCTCAGCTTCTTGTTCCTGCCCTGGATAGGTCTATTTACTTTTTTCCAGTCACTCAGATAATAAATCCTTTGATCCCTTTTTGTTACATTCATTTTAGTAAAATGTCTATGTAATTAGCTATACATTTCCTTTAAAGCTATACTCAGACTTGCTAAGGCTGGAATTCTGCAATGGGAAGGGGATTGGTAACAGACCGTTGGATTGTGTACTGGAGATGCTTCTTCCCCTGAGATACGGCTGCCATGCCAGGGTCTACATTTTTTCACTCTTGGGTCTACATTCAGCCATGGAACTAAGTTCTTAGCAGTGGAATATGGGTGCAAAAATTCAGGCCTCTTCCATAACAATTTCTTGGCGTTTTCCTCCATTTTCTTAGCTGCTGGTTGGAATGCCACACCTGGGATAACTTTGGAAGCCATTTGAAGATGATAAAGGTTCAGTCAGTTGGGTCTTTGAATGACTGGACTAGACCCTCCGTTTATTAACTACCCACCCACCCTAGCTGATTGGACTATGTGGGCAAGAAGGCAGCTTGTTTTTGAGCGCTGACATTTTATTTCTGCACTTTCTTTCCTGCCCTCCATCCTCTCTTCCACCAGGGTCTTAGTGGAGAGTGTACTTGGTATTTGAAGTTCTTTGCTGGTCTTTCTCTGTATGTGGGCCAGTGGTTCTCAAAGTGTTGTCCAACAGCATTAGCATCACTTGGGGACTTGGTAGAAATGCAGATTCTCAGACATCACCCCAGACCTACTAAGTCAAACTCTGTGGTAGGGCCCAACAAGCTGTGGTTTAAAAAAGCCCTCAGGTTCTGATGCACACTCAAGATTAAGAATCACTGATAAGGGGGGCCTGGGTGGCTCAGTCAGTTAAGCGGCTGCCTTCAGCTCAGGTGGTGGTCCCAGGTCCTGGGACCAAGCCCTGCATCGGGCTCCCTGCTCGATGGGCAGCCTGCTTCTCCCTCTCCACCGCTTGTGTTCTCTTTCTATCTCAAATAAGTAAAATCTTAAAAAAAAAAATAAAATCACTGATAAGGGGGCCATCGTTGCTCAGTTGGTTAAGTATTTGCCTTGGGCTCAGCTCATGGCCTTAGGGTCCTGGGATCGAGCCCTGCATCAGGTTCCCTGCTCACTGGGGAGTCTGCATCTCCCTCTCCCTCTGCTGTTCTCCCTGCTTGTGCTTTCTCCCTCCTCTCTCTCAAATAAAAAAAAAAAAATAATCACTGATAAAGGTAGTATCTTTTCCAGAGGTCTACTTTTAATTCTTCCCCCAGTTCTTCGTTCCAAGTATACCACCCTTCAGGGATTTGCTGTATTGAGGTTTATAGTCCTAGAGCTGGCGAAGTCCAGTTTAATGTGGCCGGAGGCCTATTTTGTATATGAAACATTCATGCATCCTTTTCTAGGGAGTGTAGACTGTTGCCAAGTAGATAGCTCTCTACTAGACAGGCAGCTAGTTGGGCAATTTTTTTTTCTATATGTGTTTGATAAAGATTTTGGGGCACTGGGAACACAGTCCAGGCTCTCAAGATTAAATTGAAGGGGGAGAGGAACCCCCCGTCTGTGGGGGAGCAGCTGGATGTTGCATAACACTTGAGCAACTCTTCAAAGAAATCTCTCCTTTGGCCTCAACCATTTTATAACTTTGAGGATGTTGGGCTAGGAGGTACTAAACCAATTTTTGGCTGCTTCACAATTATGAAAAGAACTAAATGAGTCACGTAAGAGTCACATCATTTGTGTAAGAGTGTGTGTATGTAGGTAGGGAGGATTAGGGGTTAAAATTCCATGAGGAATCTAATTTGACTTCGGGAGTATCTGATCTTGGAGGTCTGGGTGGCACCTGACTAAAACTAGAGTGCTAATGTGAACTGCAATTACAATGAGATGTGGGAACCCTAGTGGTCTCATAGTTGTGACGAGTTTAAAAGTTACAGTCTTTCAATCTTGTGAGGGTCAAAATACATCTCTGCCTACCTAGTTATAGTGAATATTCCTGATAGACTGATTCCTCAAAGCTAAATCTCTGGAATAGCCTGTCACCTCTTGAAATTACTGATTCCCAGACCGCAGAGATTCTGATTTCATTGTTCTGGGGTGGGGCTTTGGCACTGGTTTTAAGAAATCTCTAGATGGCTTGACTGCAGTGGGTTAAAGGAATATTGTATTAGTACACTGCTCAACCTATTTGAAGCAAAAACAACTTTTTGAAAAGATAACTGCTGTTTCATGATTGAAGGATAAATTGAACATCCAAACTATGAAGAGGACTAGGAGGATTTCCAGGGCAACTGGGACTGAAACTTCATTCAGATCCTTTCATTGTTTCTCCTATTTTCTTTCTGTTAGCTCCATTCTCTTTACAAACCAGCCTTTTTGTGAATGGATGGAGAACACAGCTGCTAGCAATTCCCAAGTGTTAAGTCTTCGGGCACCATTGTTAGAAAAAAGGAAGCCTGACTAACCAGCCCAGAGGGGGAATCGGGTGGTATTTCTGATTCCAACTGGGCCAATCAGTTGGGGCCTAAATCCTGTAAGAATTTGGCAGTCCCCAAAATGTCCATGTTTGGGAGAAGGTAGTCCACCTCTCAGGAAGTAGGTGCTGAGTTGGTCAAATTGTAGATATCCACTATAAATTGAGCACATGTAAATTTTTGATAAAAATAAGCAGGTTGTGCTTGTTTATATTCCCAAACTCCCCACCATCACTGTTCATTTATTAATTGTATCCATTTAGTGAAAATTGTGGTCCTCTGCCTGACACTGGTCTAGTTAACCATGGAAATGGAGAGTGGGGAGGAAAGTGGAAGAAAGATAAACAAGAACACAAATGAATTAGTTTTTGAAGTTCTAAGTTTGTGTTTTAACTATCCAGCCATTGCAACACTCAGAAGAATCTTGCTTCTAATTTTATTCCTATTGCCTGCTCTAAATTCCTTGTCTACATTATCTTTTCAAGTTAGGTTTACATGTTCACATTTGTTAAGGGCTTTGGAAGGGAGCTTCATCTGTGCTGTGCTGTATTTCAAAGAAAAGGCCTGTGCTAGGTTCTGAGGTCACTGAAAACAGCAAATACAAGTGTCTCGTGAGGAAATAAGCATGATTTGGGTGAGAAAGGCTATTAATGGATGCAACGGAGGTAAGAGGTTGGAGCTAGAGAAGCAGATGGAGGGCAGAGTACAGGCCTTAGATGGTCAAGGGAAGAGGTTTGCGTTATCCTAAATTAGATGGGAAATCAATGGCAAATACATAGAGAGCTTTGCTAGTGCTGTTGTAATCACTTAACATACATAAATTAGTTTTATCCTCACAGCATCCTAATGAAATCAGTATGACTTTTTACATCTATATTACAGATGAGGAAGCAGAGGTTCAGAGAGGTTATGTAATTTACCCAAGGTCACCAAGCTAGTGAGAGGCAGAGCCAGCATTGAAATCTAGTTTCAAAGCCTAAGCACTCAACCTCCATGCTTGAGCACCTTTCTACTGCATCATATAATTAATAAGTCATAGTGGAGCCTAGAGTGGAATCCCGTATGTTGACCCTAAAATCCATACTCAAGGCACTACAAGATACTGGTCTAAGGGAGGAACAGATTTGTAGATGGAAATGATGAGCTTCCTTTGAACATGTTAAGGCGTTTATGTCTTAGACTTCCTCATGTATCCTAAGGAGATACTGTGTTTATAGCGCTTAATCTTCCTCAAAAACCGCTCTTCATAGGTGTTCTTCCGCTTTATGAGACTGAGGATCAGTTTTGTGGCTTGCCCAGGTGGTATACCCAAATTAGAATCTAGGTCAGGAGTTGGCAAACTTTTTCTGTAAAAAGCAGGTTAGTAAATATTTTAGGGATTGAGGACACTAAGGTCTCTGTCTCAACTACTGAACTATATACTATGGTAAAAAGCAGCCAAAGACAGTATCTAAGCAAAGGAGTGTGGCTATGTTCCAATACAACTTTATAGACACTGAAACTTGATTTAAATAATTTTCATGTTATGAAATACTCTTGATTTTTCCCAACCACTTAAAAAACCCTTAGCCTGTGGACTGTACAAAAACAGGCAGCTGACGATTTGGCCCACAGGCTGTGATCTAGGTGGTTGCATTCAAAACCCTGGAGTGTGCTCACAAAACCAGTAATAGCCACAGAAATAAAAACTACAGGATTGTTGTAAGGCCTAAGTGAGATTATGGCTACAAAGCATTTAGCACAATTTGTGGTATTTAGTAAGCTATCAAAGGTCAATTAGTATCTTTCCTGATAAGTCCTTTGTCTTCATTTGGCATTTAGACTCAAGAGATTTAAGAACTGTTTTCAAATTGCAATGTGATTAGTCTAACAGTAAGTGGCACTCGTCTCAAGTTTAGAAGCTGCCGCCAGGGAGTAGGAGGGAGAAATTCAGGTGCTGCTTATGATACTGAGCTTGTTTTCATTCAACCAGTGAGACTTGTTGCCTGTGCCTCTGGCCCCCACAAAATCTTTTCTCATGGAGAGAGCAGGGTGTGAATTTTTCAAAATACTTAGTATTATGTTGTGAATACAAGTCTTTTGATCAGAGCCTTTCTCTCCTGGACAAGACCTGGGGAAGGCCTCAGCACTACTGGTTAGTACTGAGTGAATAATGACAGATACTTCTCCCATTTGCTTAACACACATGACCAAGATCTATGAAGCTGCTAGTTCCCTGCCCCCCACTCTGATTTGGAGTAAGGGATGATATTCAAAGGATGGGAGTCAGATGGGGAGGTATGGCTGGGTTGACCAGGAATGCATTGTATCAACTACAGGGAAAGATGTCATTTGGGTCTTTACTGATTTTGTCATTCATTCATTCAACAAACATGAAGATCTGCTTTGAATACCAACCAACTGTTAAGAG